AGTTTCGCTCTTGTTGCTCATGCTGGAGTGCAATGGCACGATCTTGGCTCACCACTACCTCTGCTTCACGGGTTCAAGTGATTCTCCTGCCTCAGCCTCCTGAGTAGCTGGGATTACAAGCATGCACCACCACGCCCAGCTAATTTTTATTTTTAGTAGAGACGGTTTCTCCATGTTGGTCAGGCTGGTCTCTAACTCCTGACCTCAGGCGATCCACCCGCCTTTGCCTCCCCAAGTGCTGGGATTGCAGGCGTGAGCTACCTCACCCAGCCCATAATAGCTTCTTCTGTGCTATGTTCTAAGGGCTTTGCATATAATAATTCATTTCACTTTCACAACAACCTTCGAAACTTAATCCCTATTCTACAGGGGAGGAAACTGAGGCACAGAGATTAAGTAATTTTGTCTAAGGTTCAACACCTACTAAGTAGCAAATCTGGCTTCAGAGTCCATATTCTTTGCTACAGTATTCTGCTTCTCATATAAAGAAACTGAGTTTTAAATGTCTCCTACTCAAGTGGATATTTAAGTAGTTGGATACAGGAAAATGGGAAAAAGAAAGACTCTTATAAAGCATTAACAGCTAGAAGATACCTAACTTTTGTTAGACACTTACTGTGTGCTATATGCTATACTTGGTACTTTAAATGCATGTCTTAATATACCAAGCCATAAATTAGGTAGCATTATCTCCATTTTACAAGGATTGAGAAGACACATAATTTGACTAGTAGTGTAACAGAATTAGTAAATTATGGAGTCAGAATTTGAACCCATATGCCTTTTTTTTCCCAAAACCAGCATTTATGTTTTATGTGTTCTTGTTCTTGTATTGTTATTAAATATATCTTCTATTTTCTGTTTTAAAATTCAATATCTGTCCAGGCATGGTGGCTCACACCTGTAATCCTAGCACTTTGGGAGGCTGAGACAGGTGGGTCACTTGAGGTCAGGAGTTGGAGACCAGCCTGGCCTACATGACAAAACCCGATCTCTACAAAAATACAAAAATAGGTCAGGCACGATGGTTTACACCTGTAATCCCAGCACTTTGGGAGGCCAAGACAAGCAGATCACCTGAGGTCAGGAGTTTGAGACTAGCCTGGCCAACATGGCAAAACTACGTCCCTACTAAAAATACAAAAATTAGGCCGGGTGTGATGGCACATGCATGTAATCCCAGCTACTCAGGAGGCTGAGGCAGGAGAATCACTTGAACCTAGGAGGTGGAGGTTGTAGTGAGCTGAGATTGTGCCACTGCACTCCAGCCTGGGCAACACAGCAAGATTCTGTCTCAATCAATCAATCAATGTTAGCTGGGCATGGTGGCAAGCACCTGTAATCCTAGCTACTTGGAGGCTGAGGCAGGAGAATCGGTTGATCCTGGGAGGTGGAGGTTGCAGTGAGCCGAGGTCGCACCACTGCACTGCAGGCTGGGTGACAGCAAGACACTGTGTCTAAATAAATAAATAAATAAATAAAATTCATTATTTCGTTTGATTCTTAGAATGATCCTGTGAGATAAATAGGTTTTATTTTAGTTTTACTGATGATATATTTTAAAGTTGATCAATATGTATGATATTCCAACCGCCATAAATGGTAGCATGGGAACTTGAACCCAGGTCTCCATATTTTAGCTGTCTTCCTTCTGCTGCATTCTACCTCCACTATTGCAGCTTTGTTATCTGCCAAAGAGAAGAACATGTTTATCCACGACTGTCATGAGAAAAGGTAGTTGTAAAACTCAGAAACTTCTAGGATGGCCTGTTGTTTCACTGTCGTTTGTCTATCAGGTATGTCCGCATGTTGGGGGCACTTTACATGAGGCTGACAGGCACTGCAATTGATTGCTACAAGTACTTGGAGCCTTTGTACAACGACTATCGAAAAATCAAGAGCCAGAACCGAAATGGGGGTGAGTATGGTGCTAAGTCTCCTGATTGTCATTTTTAAGCCAGTTTTTTATTTCACCAGTACCTCTACCTTTGCGTTGTCATAACAGTGTGAATGCCTCTCTTCCTCTACATTGTTACTGTCTTTATGCAGGTTTTCCCCTCCCCTCACGTGAGAGTTGAGTCTGACCACTAGTTTCATGTTGGCCTTACCCAGCCTGCCTCTGTCTGCCTCCCTTTCCAAATGCATCTTATGTTAATCCCTGCCTTGCAATATATGCCCCCTTTATATGTACTCCATCCCAAAATATCTAGCTGCAGAATGGCTTCTCCGTAAACCTTCCCCAGCCCTCCCAGACAAAATCAGTTTTCCATATTTTACATCTTCACAGTTATTTCTGCTGGTCTCTCCTCTAGCACTGTACTTCATGCTGTAGTGTATAGACTAAGTGTACTCATTTTTATACAGAAATCCCACTGAAAAATAAGTATATTCGAGAGAGGCAGCTCCATACCTTTTACAAAGAGATTACTTAATGTGCTAAGGAGGGATTCCAGGTAATGCAGTCAAAACCTTTTCTCAATTGGTGTCATAACAAAAGATAGGAACATTTACCTTTCCCCCTACATGTATCATTAAACAGTAGACGGTTAAGAATTTGGGGCCAAGCACGGTATCTCACGCCTGTAATCCCAACACGTTGGGAGGCCAAGGTGGGCAGATTACTTGAGGTCAGGAGTTTGAGACCAGCCTAGCCAATATGGTGAAACCCTGTCTGTCCTAAAACTACAAAAATTAGCTGGGTGTGGTGGTGCACACTACTCATTCTATAATGCTCCTCATTCTACAATGCACAAGCCAATCCTCAGACAAAAATTTCTGACCCAAAATGTCAACAGGTTGAGAAATTCTTAGTTTTACATAATAAAATAATAACTTCACCGTGGCCATGACTACATCCATCTTGTTCACCACGGTATTTATTCCACATAGCATAGTATGTGGCATGTCAGTGGCACTTAGCATGTATTTATTCAATGAACAAATTAGTAAGTTTATAATACCATATTCTTTTTTTTTTTTAAGATGGCATCTTGCT